CTAAGAGTTCCTCTCTGTTTGCATCACCAAGAGGTTCAAGTAAACTGCCATCTGATTCTGGTTGTTCTACCACATCATTGTCCAGTATGTATGCAACACTTTCAATTATACAGTCATCACAGTTGCATAACTGCTGATGATAATCACAGCAATCATGTTCAGGCCCAGCTCTTTGTGGTTCTTGGAAGCAAAAGTAACTCAAGATCATTTGACGTTTACATTTTTGGGCAGTGACATACATTCTCATCTCTTCCGACAATTTTTGTTTTTGCTCTGGATATATCATATGAATTATAGTAGATGATTGCCTTGGAGGGTAGGCCATCGCGCCCAGCCCTCCCAGCTTCCTGGAAGTATTCTTCCAGTGTATATGGCACCCCTGTGTRAATGACATTTCTTATATTTCTCAAATCAAGGCCAATCCCAAAAGCAATAGTTGCAAATATGATTCTCAGCTTTGAGCTTCCAGAAAGTAGACCATCAACAATTTTCTCTCTCTCATGTACTGGATATTGCGCATGGTATTGTGTAAAAAGCCTGTTACTTGCCATTTCTAAAGACCCTAAGGGGTGGTATTGTCTTTTCCCCATTTTCTCACTCATATATGCAAAACAATTTGAAATTGTTTCAAGATTACCAAAGACAATAGTCAAAGGGAAATCAAGTTTATGCCTGTCAAGATCTGCAATTAATGCATCAAGAATCTATGTAAACTTTGTTTCCCCACGATCTGGCCTTCTTGATGAAGCAAAATAGATATTACTTCTGTCAGGGTTACTTTCAATTATAATTGGGTCAATAAGACCAAGAGATGCCACTATCTCACTTCTAGCTTTCTTGGTTGTAGTGGCTGTGAGACCCATTACTGGCACATTAGTAAAAATACTTGAAAGAAGTCATAACTTTTKGTATGCTGGTCTGAATCATGCATATAAAAAATGKTTTTTCTTTTAAATCGTGAGAAACACATTTATTATATAAAGGTTCTATATGATGTATTTAAAATATTTTAATTTAAAATAGTAGCTGAAAAAAGTCAAGAAGAGCCCAAAAGATTCCATGATGCAATGGATTAAAGTTTGAAATTTATTGAACATTGGGTGGTACATACATGCATCTTCTGAGCAGTTATCAGTATGGTTTTCTGAAAGCCATTGTTTACCAATTGAATTTTGGTTTTCATATATATTTTTTCTCCTCTCCTAAGCTAATAAGGGGTGGGGTTAATTATGCAAATAGGTATTTTAAAAAGTAATTCATACTGAATTTGTATCACTCCTAATGTTTGAATTTGATCAAAGTCTTAAAATAAGAAAACCAGATACTCAATTTAAGAAATCAACAAAAGATGATTACTTTATTGAACACAAAATTCTCAAATTAAGTTGTTATAATGTTGTATTTAGGGAAATGCAATTCTTAATTCAATAAAATTGTGTAACTTAACCTGACATAGAATTTGTCTTAAATAAGAAAATATTTTATTCAAAACAAAAGAATGCAAGATACCAAAGTTTCTAGTTTTAAGATCCAAAAGTGCTTAATTCAAGACTATTCATTCTCTAAAGTAAGTAAGTATGTCCTCTTATCTGGGGACCTTAAAATAAGACTTAGTTTCTTAATTTAAGAATTTKTACTTTATAAGGGTGTTACCAATCTAATGCCAAGTGAGCTTCATCCAGTACGATTGCTTTAAGTTTAGCGCCAAACTTTTTGGACCTCATGATTCTCAATACATTCTTGTTATTCACAACAG